GCGAATTGGCTCCTCGACTAAAGTCACCAATTCGCCACCTTCGATTAAGTGTACTCTATCAACCTAGGCAGATATTCTCATTCCAGGTCAAAGCAGAAACAACAGGAATTTGATCAGGATTCAAGTCATTCAATCATTCAAACCTCAATCGAATATAATCAATTCACAAACTCTGTACTTGGGTTCATACAATCAGACCTAGCATACAAATCTAGGGTTCCCCATACCCAGATGAATGGGGGAAACTACTCCATAGAGAAAGAAGCAAAAGCATATTCAGACGCGGAAATCATACTGTGAAGATGGATTCCTGCTCCTGGACGTTTAATCGCACTTCTCCAAGCTCAAACCGGGCTCCAATGGTGATGAAGATCGATTTATGGCGCTTGGGAACTCTGGTTCGTCGCTTTCTCTCTCTAGGTATCGCTTTCTCTCACAAAAACTCGGAACCCTTCAATGTTGGCCTTCTTCTTCCTTATATCAGCTGCCTGGTCGCGATACCCGGTCGAACTACCCGGTCGGGTATATTGGGTTTCGACCGGGTATTTTCAAGACTCACCGTTTCATTTAAGGGAGAAATCTCCGGTCACTCTCCATAATCCCCGACCTGGGATTTTAGGCATTTTCCCGGGCCCCCTTCTGCTTCTCACGGACCCCCGAAGTGAGAAATACCCGGTCAAGGCCATAAAATACTCGGTCGGGTATTCCTGCTTTTGGCCGAGTATTTTGGTCCAACAGCCTCCTTCGTCCCAACTTCGCTCCTTTAGACCCGGAACTCGTTCCTCCGCCTCGATTCCAACGCCGGGACCTGAAATATGACATAAACACATACCCTAGCGTGAAATCGGCTTAAAACACGGGATTCCTCACCACAAACGACTTCAGAATAGGGGTGAAAACATGTATAATTAACGACCTATCAAACTCCCCCACACTTAACCGTTTGCTTGTCCCTAAGCAAACCTAACTCAAACCAATGCAACTCTCCAGACCTCTATAGCAACAAACAACCTCGATCGTAGGTAGCGGACTTCCTAGATCATTTAGCAGCTTACGAGGTCAACCGACGCACAAGTTATCTCATAGCCTCTTCGGCGAGAACGCTAGTCTCGAATCGGCATCATGGCAAATAGTGAACAGAGGACAAATGAATCGTGGATGAAGAGACTCTCACAAACAAAAGATCATGGACTCACATTAATTCAAGGTGCTCGATTTTCTTTGTGAACATGGTTGGAACCCTTTTCTTTCTTCTTTTTGCTTGTTTTTCTGTTTTTTCTTTTTTTCACGGGTTCCAACCTGTTTCTGCAGAAAACGGGGGCTCCTACCTAGCAAAGGTTTTGCGGGAGCCCGGCTCTTACCGGCCATGCCAGGAGCGGGTGTCTCGAGCCTCGTGCGGGGGAAAGACATGTAAGGGGGCTGGAGGTAGTACTCGTCCTCGTCCTCGGAGTCGCTGCTCAATTGGCCGTCTCGGCGCTCCACCGTAGCCAGTCTAGCTCGTTGTTGTCTCCGAAGTTGTTTGCAGGTGCGCTCAATCTCAGGATTCAACGGCAGTAAACCTCCCGACTGGCTACGGGTCATGCACTATCTGCACACAATCAAGCAATGCAAACCCGTGAAGGCACAAGTGGGAAGGAACAAACACTCAATGCAAAAATGAAAATTCTAAAGTAACAGAAATCACTTTTCTTCAACAACCTAGCCGTCCCCGGCAACGGCGCCAAAAACTTGACTCACTCCTACTGTCACTCTAGAAAATGGCCAAGTGTAACCACTTCCTAAAGCGTAGTATAGCGGGTTTGGGTTTTATTGTCAACCCGGGTCCTAGATGTGATGACTACTCGGTGAATTCTTGTTATTTAGCGGTGAACTTATAGTGCAACTCAAGCAAACAAAACACAAAGCAAGTAAACGGTTGTTGTCAAGTCAAGAGAGGTCACCCGGATATGGATCCCCCTAGACTGCAGTTAAGTCGGATTGCAATTTACCAAGTTCAGTTTTCATGAAGGTTATACTGCGGAAGGTTCTCAGTTAGCCTGAAGTCTCGACTAAAGGTCTCCAGACCCTCTCAATCTGAGTCTCTAGCGGGCGACTAACCTCCACCGGAGTAAACAGATTGAGGCCCTAATGAACCAAACCTCCACTACCGAATTGAATTCGATACAGAATAGCGAATTGGCTCCTCGACTAAAGTCACCAATTCGCCACCTTCGATTAAGGGTACTCTATCAACCTAGGCAGATATTCTCATTCCAGGTCAAAGCAGAAACAACAGGAATTTGATCAGGATTCAAGTCATTCAATCATTCAAACCTCAATCGAATATAATCAATTCACAAACTCTGTACTTGGGTTCATACAATCAGACCTAGCATACAAATCTAGGGTTCCCCATACCCAGATGAATGGGGGAAACTACTCCATAGAGAAAGAAGCAAAAGCAGATTCAGACGCGGAAATCATACTGTGAAGATGGATTCCTGCTCCTGGACGTTTAATCGCACTTCTCCAAGCTCAAACCGGGCTCCAATGGTGATGAAGATCGATTTATGGCGCTTGGGAACTCTGGTTCGTCGCTTTCTCTCTCTAGGTATCGCTTTCTCACTCAAAAACTCGGAACCCTTCAATGTTGGCCTTCTTCTTCCTTATATCAGCTGCCTGGTCGCGATACCCGGTCGGGTATATTGGGTTTCGACCGGGTATTTTCAAGACTCACCGTTTCATTTAAGGGAGAAATCCCCGGTCACTCTCCATAATCCCCGACCGGGGATTTTAGGCATTTGCCCGGGCCCCCTTCTGCTTCTCACGGACGCCCGAAGTGAGAAATACCCGGTCAAGGCCATAAATACCCGGTCGGGTATCCCTGCTTTTGGCCGGGTATTTTGGTCCAACAGCCTCCTTCGTCCCAACTTCGCTCCTTTAGACCCGGAACTCGTTCCTCCGCCTCGATTCCAATGCCGGGACCTGAAATATGACATAAACACATACCCTAGCGTGAAATCGGCTTAAAACACGGGATTCCTCACCACAAACGGCTTCAGAATAGGGGTGAAAACATGTATAATTAACGATCTATCAGCAACCATGGTAATAGGAGCAAATCATATACCCTAGATTTGACGAAGACAAGACGGGTCAAATCAAAATCAGGCAAACAAGGTTGTCAATTCCAAGTTGTAGTGCGGGCTTCATTGGTAGATGGCAAATATCAGTGGAGAATTTTGGGTGGTATGGATAGATCTGGGAAGTCAAAGGGATTTCACATTCACAAATTGGAGGTTTACCTTTGTGTCTTACATATAAAGAGGATTGTAATTATCCATTTTTGGATGGAATCATATTGTCTTGAAGCCCTACTCATAGATATTATTTATTAATATACAATTTAAGCATTGATTATAGCAATTCATCACCAATCATATAAATTCATCTCTAATAAAAAATGTAGATTAATTGTAAAATGTAAATCACACTATTTAAAAATTAAATGTAAATCTCAATGATTGTACGTTAATTATAAAACTCAATATTGATTATAAAACCAATTAATTATACATAACTAATTAATTATAACACAATATTTAAATGTTTTACATTAGTTATATATATACCAATAAAATCATCACTCGTAATAATAATAATTGTACATTAAGTTGTCCTGCAATTTCGGGCATAAAATCATCACTGATAATAATATTAATAATAATAATAATAATAATACATTCTAATCACTTATTCAAACAACCAAACCAAACTGCACAGTCCTGCAGCCCGCATCCCGACCAGTAACCAGACCCGCGACCCGCGACCCGACCAGCAACCAAACTCGCGATTCCTCGATCCGTCTTCTTCCTCCTCCTTCCTCGATCGTGGTTCCTGCTCGGCGCGATGGTTCCTTCTTCCTCCTCCGAAAACCATTGACCGGTAGACGATTGAACCGGCGGGGCGGAGTGCTCAGCGCGACGGTTCCATCTTCGACGGAGTGCTCAGCGCGATTCCTCGATCCGTCTTCTTCCTCCTCCTTCCTCGATCGCGATTCCTGCTTGGCGCGACGGTTCCTTCTTCCTCCCAATAGTAGTAGAGACGGCCGGCGTGGCGGGATTCGTTTCTCTCTTCTGCGTCCTCATTTGGCGAAGTGGCAATCCTGGCGGCGGAGACTGGTGGCGGAGCAGCAGAGCAGCCGCACAATTTTCGTCAGCCGCCGGTGAATTAAATGAGCAGGATTAAGGCGGAGCAGAGCAATGTCGATTAAGGGCGATGGCTAATAGGGGTAATATTGTCTGTTTGGTTAATTTAGGGCGTAAAATTTAAAAAGTTAGGGCGTTAAATAGGAATTCAGTAAAACAATACTTCTCGTACTACACATACTCTAAGAGTTGTGACTTGTCTCATAATGTGCTTTTGAAGCCGGTGGAGCCGTGACAAACCTTTGGGTCACGGCCTGTTTGTGTACCCTTTCACTCTATGAATTAAAATCCTATAGTTGCTAGGGGGGATTAATTTTTGTATGTAAACTAATTTTAGTGATTGAATGTCGACCAATTTATGATTTCCACTATATATTTATATCTATTGAAGTTTGCTTTTGCTATATATCGTATTATCTTGATCAAGTAATTGACAAGATTTTTCATTTTTGACATATGAGAGTGCCCATCTTATTAGGTCAAGATTAGAACACACATCAATAATGTGAAATTATAATTGCATGTATATTGAGTCGTAGTTCCATTTGTATTTGGGGTAAAACCCATTTGAAGAGTCGACGTATATAAATTAACCATAATGAAAAAAGTATAAAAATTGTACGTATACAATGTTGATTAGAAAAACTAGATTAGCAATGAAATAGATTAAATAAGAAAATAGTCTCTCTGTCACAGTCAAAACCAGAGAATTTCTTTCTCGTCCCAGTACAAGTTAAAAACTAAAAAAAGAAAAAAGAGAGAGAAGAAATTAAATAGATCTTAGGAAAATAAGTGAAATAATGTGGTAATTTTTCAGTCATCAGCGGCAGCACTTGCGTCACTCAAGTCTACGGACAAATCAAGATTCTGGTCCAACATGTGAAACACAAAGCACATCATACCGTGTAACAATAACTAGATGTTATTCAAATATAGGGAAAAGAAGCAATATTACGTACGTACCTTTCCAATGATTTTACTGTACATCTCAATAACATCGTCTACTGTCGTCTCAAAGTGAGACGTTGCATCGTAACTCTGCAAATGATGAATCGGGATGGTTTTAGGACTGAATGCGTAGATAGTGTATATGGTTAAGAACAAGATGATGGGCGGAAGGAAGATGGTTACAGTGGATATGAAGCAGTTATCCTCTTCATGATGTGCAGTGTTTGTAGGAACATATCTATCGTAGCTGTCGTAGAAGATCTCATCCAAGGGGCCAAGTAAGTCGACGCCCGGCTTTAGTTCCGCCTCAGGATTATCAGTCTCTGCCTCGGTCGAGACGGAGGCAATGTACTTCCCTTTGGCCGCCACATTGTGGGCATAAGAGCAACAAAACAGGTACCTGCTTCCATGCGTACCAAATCAGTAACTAAGTAAGTAATGAGAATCAACCAACTTACATATTTTACGAATTAAGGACATACATATCTGATTTACGACCAAGTTGCTTCTGCGGTAGAATCAGCTGGACGGAATGAGAGTCATGCGTATTTGGGATTGGGTGACTCATTATGCATATAGCACGAGCAACTCTGCCCACCTTTTTGACCTGTTCATTAATGAAATTTCGAGGTAATTAAGAAGCAAATAAAAGGGTAATTGATTAATTAAGGACATATAGCTAAGCTAGCCCTAGCCAACAATTGATGAAATGGTAGGTAGGTATACCTTGTCAGAGAGATAAGAAGGGTCGCACACAACTTTCTTGCATCTGGCGGTCTCTCCCTCGGAAGTCACACCAATTGCTTTCCCGCTTTCGTCAAATTCCACCTGCCGTGCCCGTGCCCGTGAGTGAGTGATTTCATTAAACATTTATTCCCTCAACTAATCTTTTTCCTTGGGATACAACATACGCATACCTTAATTACATATATACACAAAAACAATGTAGTAGTTAATTAATTAGTGCAATAATCACCTTGCAGTCTGGCTTGTTAAGCATATACGTCCCACCATACACTGCACTTAAGCGTGCAAATGCCTGTCAAAATACACAAGAAGAAGAAGAAGAAGAAGAAGAAGAAGAAGAAGAAGAAGAAGAAGAAGAAGAAGAAGAAGAAGAAGAAGAAGAAGAAGAAGAAGAAGGGCCATTATTTACCTGAGTTGTTACGTTCGACCAAGAAAAAAACCCCAGAAACTCTTAGTTAGTTACCTGAGGCAGCTCGCCTAGTCCATAGAGTGGATAGATGTAGGGCGACCCTCCTTGAAAACGGGCCAAAGATTCCGCATAAAGCTGTCCCAACAACACACAAGTTATTACCCCTCTCTAATTAAAATTGCAAATCTTTATTTAGGTGCTAGAGTATAAAAAGCTACAATTTCATATTTATTTCAAACTCCTGGAAATGAAAAAAATACGATCGATACATAGCTTGCGATTTGGCAACAGTTCCAGTTTCTACGCACCTTTATTCTCTTGACAAAATCAAAAGCGGGTTGATCCAAATAACTGTCATCATGGTATAGAGCTAATGCGTGTCCAATGAAGTCGATTGTGTCATCTTCCAACCCATATTTGCTGCAAATTGAATAGATAGATAAACAAAAATCTTATCTAAAGTGAAATGAAAATGATTGTGATGTGAGTATATATAAAACATGTACAATATCAGAACCATCCAAAAATTGCTTTTCTTTTTGGTATATTATTATTATTCAGCTTTCTCATTATTGAAAACTGAGGAGATGAAGTAAGAATTATTCAGCTTCATCTAACATCGGTGGGGGTAATTAATGAGAAGAACTTACGAAATAATCTCTCTGGCGGTGACTTTGGTCAAATCCAAGCCCTCGTGGGATTTAGGATCACTATCCTCGTAATCTTGGACATAGATGAAGAACTTTCGAGCTCGACGCTTCTCGAAAAGCCCCATCAGTGGGGATTTCAGTGCCTCCACATCATTTGCAGGAACTTTGTGGATCTGGAAGACCAAGCAGCAGTCAGTCATGATCATTTTTCACAATTATATTGTTGCTGACACCGAATCTCCAGCCTTGGAAAATTCATGTGAATTCGGAAATAGAAAATTTGAACCTTATTCTTGTTATACACGTAACTGCCATCGACAGCTTTGAAGTTTAGGTACTTGGTAACACCAGTATGGATCAAAACTCGAACCAAATTCCCGTTGGCAATAATGAACTGCAACATATAGAAGCGTTAGTCACGTTACTGTTTAGCTAGATACTTACTGCATGTTGGAGGACCGTTAATTAATCAACTTAAACTACAAGCCGGCTGTACGTGCGTGCAATAAAACCATGCATGCAGTCGAAGCAAGCATATACGTGCGTGCGTACCTTAGGTACCATGTCGACGTTGTACTCCTTGCTTGCTCCCAGGCTCTCTGGAGGCTTATCGTTTTCTCTGAATCGCTTCCATAGCTATACGTATGTTATGTACGTACCCATGGGTAAACAGCAAATTCGAGGAGACAACAACGATCGATCTTATTAATTGTCTCATTATTGAAGAGCAACTAACAACTGGAGACAAATCAAAATATCACCTGGTTAAGGTTAAGAGAAGTGGAAGCACCCCCATAATAATCATTGCGATCCATGTGCAGAACCTGTTACGTTGTTCATGGACTCAATGCTTAATTACCTTACTCCTCGTATCATTAGTTAATACTATACACATTTCGCACTTCTACTTCTTATGGGAACCATTGAAAGTTCTCATTATACAAAAATGCTGACCTTTAGCCCATTAACTGAGAGAAGGCCGCTGAGGATGCATTCCTTAAGACCAGTCCCTAGAACTATCACATCGTACTCTTCATCCATGATTGATTGATTGATGATGTTTTGTTTGACGCTTGATTGTCGAGCGAGCAAATTGGGAAAAGAAAGAAAGAAAGAAAGCAAAAATGATCTGATGGATTGGTAGAAAGAGAGCGGGGTATGGGCACAAGCTAGATCCTTTTGTGAGGGTGGCGAAAGGAAGGTGGAAACGGGAGAGCTGGTCTTCAGCCGTAAGTAACGATCAACACAAATTACTACTCCTACCCTTGCGCTTTTTTCCATTTCATCGCTTAACACACTACGTATTTTATCTTCCATCTAACAAAGGTCTTCGCCTTCGGGCCAGGACCACTATCACAGGATATCACATCCGTTGAGTACAACCCAGGGTTATGCAACCTGCACAATCGCTATCCCCTTTAGAATTAGGATTAGGGTAAGTATAATATATTAGCGAGAATGATTAAGCAGCGGGAAATTATAGTCATAACTATTGAAGTACAAATTATTAGCCAATCGTTAAGTCTCCGTTAACACTCTCGTTTGTTATAAACGTGTTGCTACGGATCGGGAAAACGCCGGAATCGATAAAGCAAGAATACGAAAGCGAGAATCGAAAACACAGACACACGGATTTACGTGGTTCACTAACACGATGTGTGTTAGCTAGTCCACGGGCGAGAGAGAGCCAGTTTCACTATATCGAGGAGATTACAGATTACAGAGGAGTATGAGAAGTATTTATAGTACTTCTCCATGTGGGTCCTAACCTAATCCAATATGGAAAAGGAAACGGTTACAGACCAGGCCCAGAACCCGAACTTAAATAACATTGAGCCCATCGACTACCAATCGTAGCGGCTGATAGTCCGATTCAAGTCACATCAACAAATCTCCACCTTGACTTGAATCCTCTTCCTCTGAAATCTATGATGTACTCTGCTCCTTCTCTCTCTCTCTCTCCTGCCACCAATACCCCGCAGGGCGGAGTCACCCACTCAAGACATTTAGCAAGTCCAAGGAGTGTTGGAACTTGCCATGTGGAACCAGCTTCATGAACATAACAGTAGGATTATCCGCGGTGCCAACCTTTTTCACCTTAATTTTCATCTCTGTCCTCAAGAAATGATACCTCACGTCGATGTGCTTAGTCCTCTCATGGTGGACTTGATCCTTGGCCAAGCATATTGCACTCAAACTGTCGCAATACACCACTGCCTGATCATGATGTAGACCCAGATCACCAACCAGTCCCTTCAACCATATTCCCTCCTTAGCAGATTCTGTCAACGCCATATACTCTGCCTCAGTAGTAGACAATGTCACCGCCGACTGCAAAGTTGCCTTCCAGCTCACTACAGAACTCCCAAGAGTGACTACATAACCGGTCATCGATCTCCTCGTGTCAACATCTCCAGCATAGTCCGAGTCAGAATACCCAGACACCAAGCACTCTGTTTCACTTCTGAAGCTAATCCCCACATCAGGTGTACCCTTAAGGTACCGGAAGATCCTCTTCACAGCCTGCCAATGCTCCTTCCCAGGGTGTATCATAAACCTGCTGACAACACTAACAGCATGTGCAAGATCAGGTCTAGTGCATACCATAGCGTACATCAAGCTACCTACTGCACTAGCATATGGGACTCTCGACATGTACTCCTTCTCAGCCTCTGACTGCGGTGCATAAGCTGAGGATAGATGAACATTTGAAGCACTAGGAGTATTTAAGGGCTTTGCTGAAGACATGCCAAACCTCGACAGTATCTTCTGGATGTAGCTCTTCGGTGACAAGAAAAGCTTCTTCTTTGATCTGTCCCTGTAAATCTCCATACCCAAGATCTTCTGAGCAGCTCCCAAATCCTTCATCTCAAACTCAGCACTGAGAAGCCCCTTTAACTTATGGATATCAGACTTCGACCTCGCAGCTATGAGCATATCATCCACATACAGAACAAGATAGATCATCGAACCATCCTCCACCTTGTTGTGATACACACAACAATCATATGGACTTCTGCTGTAGCCCAGCTCAAGCATGTAACTGTCAAATCTCTTGTACCACTTCCTCGGAGACTGCTTAAGTCCATACAAGGACTTCTTCAGCTTACAAACATAGTCTTCTTTTCCCGGAACCTCGAATCTTTCTGGCTGAGTCATGTAAATTTCTTCCTCCAACTCTCCTTGTAAGAAATCTGTCTTCACGTCTAGCTGCTCAAGCTCCAAGTCATAATGTGCCACTATTGCTAGTAGCACTCTAATCAAAGTATGTCTGACCACTGGTGAGAAAAACTCATTGTAGTCAACTCCTTCCCTCTGCGAGAAGCCACGTGCAACCACCCGAGCTTTAAATTTCATGCCCTCTTTAGAAGTGATTCCTTCCTTATTCTTGTAGATCCACTTGTTTGTAACAATCTTCCTTCCCTGTGGTCGTTTGACTAGCTCCCAAGTCTGATTCCTGTCATGGGATTCCATCTCATCTCCCATTGCGGCAAGCCACTGATCAGCTTCGCCACCCGAAACGGCTTCTCTATAGGACTGTGGCTCACCTGCATCCACTTCTTCAGCAACCTGAAATGAATGCGCCACCATTTCCTCGAAGCCATACCTCTGTGGAGGTACTCCTTCAGTCGCTCTCTTTGGTCTACCGGAAGCTATAGACTGTTGAGCTCCTGTACTGGACCTTGAAGTTTCTGGCTCTGTAGAAACATCCTCATGTTGATCTTCTCCACCTTGGTGCTCAAACTCACTCTAATTGAGAGTTTGCAGCTCCACCTGCTTATCAACATTCCTGTTACCTTCAACAACAGTAACCTTCAACATGGGGTTAAACATAGACTTCTCATCAAATATCACATTTCTACTAAGTATAACTCGATGCTTAGAAGGTGACCAGACTCGAAATCCCTTAACTCCATCTCGGTAACCCACAAATACACCCTTCTTTGCCTTTGGGTTCAGTTTACCCTCATCCACGTGATAATAAACAGGACACCCAAAAACTTTCAGTGAAGAGTAATCAGCAGGCTTACCATACCACACTTCATAAGGAGTCTTACACTCGATACCTGTGTGAGGTCCACGGTTGATCAGGAAGCACGCCATGTTTACTGCTTCTGCCCAGAATCTTCTCTCTAGTCCAGCATTAGAGAGCATGCACCGTGCTCTATCCAACAATGTCTGGTTCATTCTTTCTGCAACGCCATTCTGCTGGGGTGTATCTCTCACGGTTCGATGACGGGCAATCCCTTCATCCTTGCAGAATTCGTTGAACTCAGGATTACAGAACTCCAAACCATTGTCCGTTCGCAGCTTCTTGATCTTCTTTGCCGTTAGGTCCCCCTAGTAAATTTGGCAAACAAAGCTGCAAACAGTAAATGGAGGAGAATTCTACTTGAGGGGACTTCACGTGGGTATTGCTCCCCCTAGTCTCATGCTAAGAAGCGACAAACAAAGCTCTAAAGTGAAGGAAGTGTTCATACACCGCAAGGTGGGCACAACTACCTAGGAACAAACTCCCTTAGTCTATCAATGAAGGAAAATCAACAACTATAAGCTAGGGGAACTAGCTCTTTGCCGTTAGGTCAAGGATTGTGATTCATAGCTAGGGAACCTAGTCCTCTTCACCAATCAACCAGGAGATCGCTAACTCTCTTAGTTAGCTAATTGAGAATCGTTGCAACAAGTTAGAAAGATAACTCACTTAACCTTTAGGCTAAGGGTGACAACGATAGACTAGGAAACCTAACCCTCTCGACTAGCCGACTAAGGATTGCATACCAAACCCTCGAAACTTAATCCGGTCGGCGGAGAGACCAATCCCGGTGGAATCATGGCCCTACCCCGATACTTGAGATTTTGGTCTTAAATCGACCTAAAGGAGGTTACCCAAGTGGCTAAGAAGTCTCGCTTCCTATTGGACCAAAGTAGGATTTCCACCCTCCAGGTCAATTTTACCCAATATTGAGTTAAAGCTAGCACACTCAATCATTCATGAATAATACCTCAAATATCATATAAAACACTCAATCAACACAGTAGGTTCATGTTCTTAGATCCTAACACATAGAGAGACTAGGATTCACAATGCCCAAGTGAGTAGGTAGGGTATTCCATAGCTAGACAAGAGAAAACAACAAAAGGGGAAGAAAGAACCATGAAGTGATGCCAATCTTTCCTCCTTGTTGCTTGAGACATCCTTGAGATGAAGAAATCTTCAATCCTCTAGCTAGGAACAAGCCCAAAGCTCCTTTTTCTCCTTTGATTAGCACTTTCTCACTCTAGAAGAAATCTTAACCTCTCACTAGAATCCTCTTTATTCTGAAAAATGAAAACATAAACTAAAAATGAAGCTATCTCCTTCTTCTTCCTTTCTGCTCTCTCTTTATACAGAGATCGAGATGAGTTCACGGCCGTGAACTACTCAAAGCATCCGTGAACTCGGCGTGCTATGTCGAAATGAACTGCTTCACTCTCCAGGGTTCACAGTTTGCACTCAAAGTTCACGGTCTTAGAGACCGTGAACTCCCTGGTCGTCAGTAACCACTAAAACCTCGCTTGACGCCTCTGTGTTCACGATTTGTGGATCCAATTCACGGTCTTAGAGGCCGTGAACTCCAAAGCCAGGTCGTGAACTGCAGTTGATTCTTTGGACTTTTCTTCGATTTTTGCGCTTTTTGACCTCCAATCATCCCAAAACTCGTCCTCGATCGTTCCACACGTGATAGGACTTGAAATGTATCAAAACAAGCACAACTTAGCGTGAAATATGTCAAGGGACGATGAAATGCAGAGCCAACCTATCAAGAAATGAGGGGTAAATTGTGTACAATTGGACCCAAATCAGAGTCTCTTAAGTTAAGGAGGGTTCTCTCTAACCTAGATTAGGAGGCATTGAATGCCTAAGGAAACCCATCTCAAAATGATCCTCTTAGGTTAAGAAGGGTTCTCTCTAAACTAGTTTAGGTGGCTTTGAATGCCCAAGGAAACCAAACCTCTTGGGTGAAGGAGCTTTCCTCTCTAAACTAACCTAGGAGGCATGAAATGCCCAAGAACCCTATCTTAATAATGAGCCTTTAACCTAAGGAGTTTCTTCTCTAAACTAGCCTAGGAGTCTTGAAATGCCCAAGAACACCCAAT